TGGGAGGTGTCGCAGAGATGTCCTCAAGAAGATGCAAAGGGCATGCCTATCCGTCACACTGAACATTGCACGTACTTTTAAGGTTGCGATACATTAGACATCGTATTACCCGTGCTTCGGGTTTTCTCCTGCTCTAGAACTTTGAACATTTAGCATGTTTGAGCGTAATTATTTGGTTTAGTTTATTATATATATACATATACATATTTTAACCTTACTTTTTAATCGGACATTACCTTTTAATTCTAGTATCACTAGCCCGAGCACAGGCTACGCCTTGGCGCCCTGTGTTCCTCTTTACTGTATGGCATAGAGATAGTTTTTACTGCTGGTAATAATAATATTTGATATTTATATTGCACAATTTCTATATAAATTAATCAAATACGCTTGACGTTATGTCCTAATCCTTACTGCCCAAGAAACAGTACAATATCTTCCCCAGTGCAAAGTTCGCAACAATTAAGATCCACATAAATAGGAAACAGCAAAACCTCAAGATGTACAGTGTACTGTGTACAGTGTACAATAAAACTCGTAATTTTTGTAATATGACCTTCACAAACATCTATTTGTCACGTCTCCACTGAATTATTCCTTGAACTTAACGCTGTTCACTCACAAATTAATAACTGAAACAAAGAGTTGCTAAATTTAACTAATTTTATTTCATTTTTTTATGACCTACCAACCCTTTTTAGGGAAGCATTACTTGGAATGCTGGAAAGAATCCAGCTGCTGCTTGTTCGAGTTCCATTCTGAGTTCATCTAGACTCCAACAGTACATTCATTTTTATCAACTACCACTAGGGTTTATATTAATATATATCCTTGTCAAAATATACTCTTCATTTTATCAAGCCATTACATGTACTGTAATCAATGTACAGTGTAAAGCGATATTCTTAAACAAAGAATGACACTAGTCCAGTAATGGAAATCCACTTTGATAATATTTCCTGTACATAATCTTTCTTTTCTTCTCTTTATTTACAATAATATCACTGCCCTTAGGACAAGAGATACCGTACAATTTGTCATTATTAACAATGTTTGGTAAAATACAGCATAATCCCACAAGCACCTGTAATTAGCTAGTAAAACCTCCATCCTTCATTTTTTACAAGTATATATGAGTACGTGTCAAGATTTGAAAATTTTTAATACACAAGAATCATACAGCCTTGAGAGCTTAAACAATAGTCATTTTTCAATTACTTGCTTGTTCATAAATGTAACACAACCAAATTCAAAACTGGACTGAAAGACTGAAAAACATAGAGACAAAGTGCTTGACAAACAGTAATGATGTAACACACTTCAAAGCCAAAGAGTTTAACAGAGAAATTAACTTTGGGATCTATCATAATTTCCTTTTGACTCAAACCTTCTCTCAACTATTCAACAAATGAAGAGAGATGTATAGAAACAGAAGACTGTAAGCACTCCCTTACTACAAGCCTTTTAGGACAAACCTTTCTCTATCAGATCTGATAAAGGCATGAGTGAAAAACTTCCTGGCAAATCAGCTTTGTCAAGGCTTTACCCCATCGAAAGCATAGGCAGAGGATGACTCACAAGAAGGAAACTGTATTCAGACATCCAGTTTGTATAGTTCCAACACCTCAAACATTTCTTAATCAGTATCCGGCTCTCTAAATCCTTCACTATGCATCTTTTTACCAATGACTTCCAAGAAAGCCTTGGCCTCAATGTCTGTATCCAATACACTTTTTTTCTCTAGCTGTTCAAGAAGAAAAAAAAATGAGCCATAATCTTGAAAATAAGTGAAGTAAAATTGTATCAGAGAATTTTACTTGCCTAAGGCAATATCATTATTGTTTTATCATAACGCTTGCATTTCAATACTACAGAAGGTGGTGTTGGTAATTTTTTACTGTGTTTGTAGTAGAATTGAAACCAAGATCATGTAATTCCAGATAACTGCACTCTCCTTGCAGCAGACCTGTCCCGAGCCAAGAGCCAGCCAAAACCACTGGTTATTCTGCCATCTTTTGACCACTTTTTGACAGCCTCATTCTATCATAATTATTGTCAGTAATGAAAATTATATACATCCTTCAAGGAATTGTGTTTAGCAGCAAACATTTTCCTAGTTCACATTAACAATTTCATATGAATCGTGGAAGATCTGGGACATTGAAACTGGATAGTTCCAAGTTCAAAGTCTTGCATGTTATCTGACCAAAACAACATGGCACCCACAATAAACTAACTACCTGCTATTTCTTCTTTGCCTTCTACTATCTTTCTTACTAACAGTCCTGCAGCCAGGCCAATCAAAAATCACTCTTTTGCAAAGAAGCACACAAAAAAATGACAAATTTTGCAGAGGAAAGACATGCCTCATTTTCTGGTGGTGCACCCACACCCCAAGCCTCCAGTTTGTCGAGCTTAAACTCCTCTTCTGCAGAGAGTACTGGGCTACCATACGTTGTGCAGGAAGGCTGCCCTCGACTATGTCCAGAACCAAAGTCTTCATTCAACCAAAATCCAAAGTAGTTTAGCTGGCCTCCCATACCCTGTTAACAGACCAAACAATTATTGAGTAGAGTTCAGCAATGTGGAATATCACTAAAAACATAACATTAAACATAAGTCATTATCTGCCACTTCCAACCCTGTACAGTGTATAGTTGCTAACCCTTACAGATCATCCGGGAGTCTCTCAGATACATAAAGAATATCTTGGTCTCCATTAAAGTTTCCTGAATCTCCTAAAATAAAAGTGAATTTGGATATTTTTTTCTATAAGAGAAATGAAATCAAGTATACATGATTAAATCAAACTTAAATTTGATGGGTAATAGTCAATACATTTTAAGTTGTTATTATATAATCCATCAGATCATGCGACAGGTTTGGTGCAAACCCTTCTAGTTTGCATGTTCTAAGGTGGAAAAGCAATTCATTTTATAAAATCTTACCAATCCATTAGGCATTGTCTGCATGCCCATGTTCAGATACATGAAGTTTTCATTGTAACCAGTAGGATGGTATACACTCATTTTAGGCTTTAGGCTGAACAAAAAGCAGTAACTGTCACCTGTAAAACAGAGAGGTTAATGAACAAACACGAAACAATTTACACTTCTTGTCCTTAATAACAATAGCAATAATAATAATAATAATAATAATAATAGTAATAATATATATGACAGTTCATCTCTTGTAATAGTTCCAGCTGGTTTTTTCTCTGTTACATAACAAAATAATGGCTGAATCTAAATACATCCTGTAATTAAAACAAATATTAATGAAAATACAACAAACTCTTTTTACGGTAAATGGTTTGAACCCGGGGGTAACATGTGAAGGTGTAGTCTGATCGTCCGGGTGAGTGTAGTCCTGAGAAGGACTGTTGTCGGTGGCAGTGCCTGACGTTTCGACAACCTGTGCGGAAGTCATCATCAGAGTCAAGTGACTCTGATGATGACTTTTTACTAGTCAAGTGACTCTGATGATGACTTCCGCACAGGTTGTCGAAACGTCAGTCACTGCCACCGACAACAGTCCTTCTCAGGACTACACTCACCCGGACGATCAGACTACACCTTCACAAACTCTTTTTACTAGTCATGATAATAAAGTAACTGTATAACCTACCTCGGTTAATTTGAAAGTTTAAAAAAAAGCTGTGTAATTGTTACTAACAGTTTCCTATGCATTGTCAGCATAATGTCAAATAGCCTTGATGCATTGTCCTAGAAAGCTTGAACCATTTGCATAGGAAATTACCCATCTACACAACCTACTTGAGCATATTTCCCCTCTATGTCCCTCATAGTTTTGAAAAGGTGTGCTAACAAAAGACTGTGTTGACCCTAACCCGTAATTTACCCACAAAATGAGACTTTATAGACCACCTAGCTGAGACAAACTGTCCAAAAATATATCCATATCTCTCTGGTAAGTACCTTGTCCTTTAACAGTGCATCAACAAGAAACTGCTCTGTACATACTTACCTACAAAATGAGACTTTATAGACCAACCAACTGAAGCAAACCCACCAAAAATATGTCCACCAGTGTCTCTGGCTACAATAGCCACAGGGCCTTGATTGGTAATTTGATGAATAAAAGCACTGAAGCTCTCACCATGAATTTGAGTAGAAAATAGCAGACGCCATCGATGTTGAGAAGATTCAGGCAAGTGATGATTAAGAAGAATGATAGATGGAATGTCCAAAAGTGAATCAATTTTACTGAAATCCACTTCAAACTTGCATGGCATTATTATGTGTGACCTAGAGAGATAAGAGCTGTCTTTAAATCTGGACATACATGTTTCAATCCAAGACTTAGAAAGATAATCTAGGTGTAATCTTGAGGTAAGCCAGACCTTTGAAATTTTCATCTCTACATGCACCTGGTAAAAAGAAGTTAACCCAAGACTAAAAAGACACAACAAAAGATAAAACCATTTTGATCTTTTGCTAAACAGAAACATGGCAACATAGAATCTACTGGTTAATTATATAATCAGACAGAATTTACGAGTGTTTTGATCCATTTTTACCAATAAGCTATTCCAGGACAGACACAGAGATAATTAACAAATGTTTGCTCCTTAAAATTACACAGAATAAATAGGTTCAATGTTGCTGTGGCTCTGTTGCTGTGGCTCTTTTCAATAAAAGATCACAGAAATGTCAAAATATAGTAAGAATAACATTGACATGCTCCTCTGCACCTAAAAGTCTGTTTACGAGCCAAGTGGCCCATCAGGCCGGTACTTAATTCTGGTTTCTGTAGCACGAAACAACTAGGAGTATTTCTACACCCCCCTGGATGGGATGCTAGTCCATCACAGCTTTACCCCCCCCCCCAGTATTAAATTGGCAGGTATTTAAACAAATGAGTGAAGAGAGGCACTATGGGAATAAAATGTCTTGCACTTGATCCAGAGTTGAGTGCACTAACCATGAGACCACTGCAACTCCACTCCTGTGCCTACCGTAGTGTGCCGGTCGCTTTTTTGTTTTAACACATTTTGACATTATCTGTGATCCACACTAAACAGATGCACAGCAACATGGACTCTATTTGTTATACTGAACAATATTACAAGACTTGGGCAGTCAGAGGGCCAATAACTAAAATCAACCAATCAAAATGCTCTATTGCTGGTCAATATTCTCTCACTATTGGACCGGCTACTGTCCCGAATGGTCCCAAATGATACCACACTTATGTCCCTTTGAACTTCAGTCGTATAATAAATAAATTATTAACCAGGCTTGCTCGGGACCATAATGGAAGAATATCGGCCCTCGGTCTTTTTCACTACGCTCGGTCAGTACTGTCAAGACCTCGGACCGATATTCCCCCAGTACGACCCTCATGCTTGGTTAATAAGATATATATACTCACCTGTCATACTGTACATGTGCAACTGTCTCTTCACAACCATCCTCTAACCCATGAGGCTTTGCTTCCAAAAGACTCTCTACATCAAAGCAACCAGCCCTCATAACAGCCAGAAACAATCTTTCTATCAGCGGAAATTTACCAAACCATGAAATAACCTCCTCTGGTGAAACACAACTAGGATCTGCTTTCTTCTTTAAAAGTTCTTGGATAGCATTTTTGGCAAATCTCTGGTTTGCCTCTAAGTTAGTATACAGGTTCCATTTTGCACCATCAGCAGTTTTTCTCAATGCCACAACATAGGCATCTAAGAACGTTTTACAGAGGTCTTCAACCTCAACACTTGTGACTACTTGGTCAACATCAGCAGTTAAGTGGTAAAATATCTGTGCTTTCTCTTCTCTGCTCCTCTTAAATACATGAGACATTGACACAAAAAATGCCACCCTGCCCACTTGACCATCTTCCAGGGGATTTTTCACTGCTCTGCGAGCTCGTTGAATATTACACATCTCTTTGAAGAAACGGTTGATGATACACTCTGGTAAAAGCCATGCCAAATGATTCTATGTTAGTGAGATAATAAATAGAAAAAAAAAACATTGAGAACTGAAGAGTGAGGCATTCATGATTGGGGTTTCATCAACTGAGTTGATAACATAAATAATGGTCACCGTGAAGAGTTTTGAAAACTGATGTTTCAAGCATTAACCCTTTATGTTTCGCTCTGACAAAGGGCTAACACTTGAACCGTCAGCTTTTAAAACTCGTAACAGAGGCCAGTTTACATTATCACCTCAGTTGATAAAACCCCAATTATCTTGTTACTCCCACTGACACAGCACCACAACTTCTTTAGATACTTACCCCCTTTATTCATTTCAAAAATTGGAGGACAAGGATGAGCTGGAATCAAATTGTATTTTTTGATCCACAGATATAAGATTAACATGTATGGCTTGATAATGGGCAAGTAGACCCTGATAAAAGCCACTTGCTTTTATTAATATCTTCATCCTTAATTAATAAATTTCAAAACCTTTATAATAAATCAAATTTCATGTCATATTCCCTTTCCCTTAAAATAAGAAATGATTTCCGTCGGTTTGAGAAGAATGCTTATTTCTTAATTACTAAAAACTTTGTGAGCTCAGGATTTTATTTCAAATTAAGTACACTTACACAAAAAAAAAATGAAGATAGAAATGAGAGAGGTTTTGAAGCCCTGCATCTGGCATATTTCAAAAGTAAAACTTCTTTTTACAAGAACCGAATGAGAATTTTTTATTTGTTTTTGTTTTGTTTTGTTTAGTTTTTTCTTTTTTTGTGTGTTCATTTAGCAAAGCTGTCACAGGTTCTGTAGGATTTCACCTTGAAAATGCTACTCCTAACCTACTCCTACAACCTTAACCAGTCTTAGATATAAAAACATGCGAAATTATTCTTTGAATTACCGATAAAATTTCTTCAAGGAAGTTAGCATGTAAATTAAAATTGTTCTGTTTTTAACAAGCGTGAATTAACATTCAACACCAGCGGAAGGGTACAATTGTAATTATAAAAGGCAGGTGAAATGGAAGGTGCCGAATATAGCTACAAAGGGAATTCCAAATGATAAGATAGAGCTAGAGATTTAGCGGCGCATAACGGCTTTTTTTTTTTAATCGAGTCCATAATATTAACACTTCCCCAAAAAAACAAAAGTAAAAATAAAAAAAGCTCTTCTTCTGAAGTTGCATGTTAAATTTAATAGGGCGATCTTCCTTACCTTGAAAGGTTCAAATTCAACCTTCATAACACCGAGTTCGTTTGCAGAAGCCAGCTGATTAAAAAGTGACAAGAGGTGTTGGCGTTCTCTCTCGGAAAAGGAACGGTAACTGTCCTCATATTCAATTCCTCTGCTTGCCAAAATCCCCATTATCTCTGACCCTCCCCTGGAGATAAAAACTCGAAGAGACAAAAGCATAAATAGGACAATAATGAGAGAAGAATGGGATCGAAAGTTCTCCATGGGGAAACCATTAACTCGGTGAACGACATTATATCGACCATGCTACGGAGTTTACACGACGACTACCGAAGTAACTACCGACTAAGTCTGTCAAAGCCTCATGTACACGCATTTTTCCAACATGGCGGACGAGATAGCGTCGAAAGAGGTATGTTTCAACTAATTTCGTTGTAGCCTTTGTTTATTTTTTTAAACGGTAGTTGTTAATGCAGCCTTTCACGTTTATTTCAGGTGATGGAAAAAGATTTACCAGAAGTCATTTCAGCCATGAGAGAAATGGGTGAAAAGGTAAGAAAAATTAACCACGTGGGTTTTTCAACTTTGATTTTCCATAAACGAACAAACCTTAGGACGTAATTAATCCACTACAAACGCCGATCGCAAACGTGTTTGATGAGATAATCTTCTTTACCTTCAAAAAGAGTTCTGATGACACGAAAAAATTACTCAGGAAAGATTCATCGTAGTTCTTTCTCCCCCTCCCAATTGTGAATTATGTAAATGGCCATCGCATGCTATCCCTACACCCCCTTTCAAACAGTGAGTTAGGATTCTCCAATGTTAACTGCCTGAAGAAAATCCTGCGTTTATTCAAAGGCTAACGTATGCTTTGTGTATTTTTTTAAATAAGATTTCAGATATAAACCAGCAGGTTGAAAGCTTACTAGTAAAAATTTCAAGTGGATTGTTACCAACCAAAAAGGTATTTAAATTAGAAGTACCAATTACTAAGCAGGTATTCCTAAAACAACAGTAACCTCAGTTTGTTTTCTTCAAAATCTTCACTACACCGAATACAACAGCTGCATATCAGATATTTCAGTCTATTACATCTTGTATTTTTCAGGGTGTGAGTTTTTTAGAACTTAAGTTTCATCTTCTCCTTAGGTAGGTACCTTGATGAAAAAAAAGAGTGTCAGAATTTTAAACATAAAGTTCCTTTTATTGACATTATTTTTTGTTCATTGTAGCCCCTCTATCTTGAAAAGCAACCAGTTAACCTTGTGAAATTATTTCATAAACTAATACTAACGAAAATAATAAAAATAGTAAGGATTTCTTTAGAGCCATATCTGTAGGCTTGTAGGACCAGTCAGGAGAATAATATGCCCTGAACCAAATTCTTCATTCAACCAAAATTCAGAGTGGTTTAGCTGGTCTCCTATACCCTTCTCTAAGGCCCAGGGCTGTCATCTAGCAGCACCCAGTGGCCTCTGGCACCTTAATTTTGCTCTTGGGCAACTCAGGAATTTTAGTTTTTTTCCATACAAAGCATATGCTGGGCACCCTGGATTTGACAGTTTCAGAGCACTGGGCTCCATTCAATTTTCCTTAGAGCACAACCTTGAGACCAAACAATTGTTGAGTAGAGTTCAGCAATGAAGAATACCACTCAAGTTACACTAAACATAAGTCTTTATCTGCCACGTCAAATCATGTACAATGTATAGTTTCTCCCGGATACGTAAAGAATATCTTGTCAAATTCGATCGTTCACTATTAGTACCAGTCATACTATTCATTCTTTTGGAATTGGCTTCTTCAGAAGTTTTTATTGAACACATCAACTTACAAGTTGTCTCTGACTTCATCAGTTACCAAGTCTTCCTGCGAATTCAAAGTCTGAGATGTCAACTTTAGAGTGTACATACTATCATGAATTCCTTAAATCTCAATGGATTTGAATTAAATGTTGAGTAAAATTTGGATCGCACAAATTTATGGCTGTGATCAAACAACTGTCTATTGTAACAATTCTAAGTGGGAACCTTTTTTAGTCAGTGCAACTTAAGGGACTAAAAGTATACTAGATAGAAATACTGGCTACCAACTTTCCTTGTTTCTTTTTGTGTCACTGACAGTTATGTTATCGATCTCACTTACTACCTGTTAACAAAAACTGATGGGAACTCATGGCAGGGAGATCCAGCTGTGGACAGATTAGTTGAAGCACGAACAGTGAGTATATACAAAAACAATTTTAGTAAAAATTTTCTTTAATATATTGTGATTATAGATGTTTTCCTAACAATTATTTTATATTCCTATAGGTTTTAGAGAAACTGAGACCAATTGATCAGAAAATGAAATATCAGATTGATAAAATGATCAAGACGGCTACAACAGGAGTGGTGTCAGGTACAGTAGCCCTTCTGATTTTAAATTCTCCCTTCTAGGTACCATATGCAGGGCTCCACTTTCAGAAAAAAATCTTGGGGCCACCTGGCCTCCAAGTTTTAATTTTTGGTTGCCAGGACAAGCATTCTAGTCACCAAAAACTATCTTCAAGAAAAAATAGAATATAATACACTAAAGGTCTTTCAATAAACCTCAACAAAATCGTCAAGAAGTGACAGAAAGTCAATCCTGAATACAAGAGAAGACCTTCTACAAAACAGGCTACATGCCTGGGGCTACATGGCCCTTAGAATGGCACTTGTTATGAAATTAAGTTTTCCGATTTGAGAAATGATAACTGGTACAACTGAAGATAGACAACTAACCGAACAAGTACAATCTGTCTACAAATATACTTGTTGGAGGAGCATGATGTTTTTCCATGAACAGATCTAACTATAAATTTGTAATAAATCTGTCGTAATTTCAACTATCTTTGTTTCTCAGTAACTGATTTAGAATTACATGTTTCGAGTTTCGTTAACTATTGATTTGTGGTTCGATTTGTGACAGGCTGTGTACATCAAATAACCAGTCAAGTATAAAATAAAGAAGATTTTTGGAGAAAATTTTTATAACTTTTAATACATGTCGGATGTGTCAATGATGCATAGCGTTTTCAGTGTGTGTGAAATGCTGAATTTCCTTTTCACATATCATGCTGTGAGAACGTTTATAGTCGTATTTGTTAGCAATGGTCAATCCATAGATCCCCTACCTGAAATACTCTGTTGAAGAAGTTCCAACGGAGACCATCTTTTTGTGGGTCTGTAACACTGTCGCTTTAGAAAAATTATTTTGCAAGAACTTGTTATTTGATATTATTATTTATTGATTTATTGATTTATTATTGATAATATTTATTATTGATATTATTTATTTGTTATTTGATATTATTATTTAATATTATTGTTAGTTGATATTTTAAGGCTTCCTTTCCCATGGTTCTTTCCCATTGTCCGTTTGCATTGACATCGCTTACCCATGGGCGGCTGTAAATAGTGACTTGTAAATTCCCTCAAAGAGTTATTCAAGCTTCAGGAAATAAAATACACTTGCCGTTAAACAAATTTTTAGAATTACAAAAAGACTTAATTAGGCTATTAAAGAACACAATCTGCAAACATTTGTTTTGCATCTCACATTTGCATTGATGTTCAGGAATGAACATCGGTGAAACATGATCTAGTTTGTTGCCTGACACATGATCGAAAGAAGATCATCAATATTTTCGGGGAAAAGTTGATTTGGCGAGAAGTCTGTTCGACAAACAGCATGACCTCAATGGTACTTTATTAGAAGTCAATAAAATACAATTCATCACAATAATTTATCAGCAAAGCTCTCTTTTGGGTTGTCACGCAACGCTTTGTGGCCATGGGTGCAAAAGTCAACAGAAATTTGCATTAAAAAAGTTTACTATAATTGTGACTTGTGCATGTAGATTTCACTTTGCATTTGCTACTAAGTAAATAAAGTAGCCAAAAGGAGAATGGAACACGATTTCATCAGCTTCATACGCAAACACGAAAGTATCAGAGTATTGAACTCAATAAGAAATTTTGAAACTAAATCAAAAAATCTTGGGGCCAGCCTGACAATCAGGCGTGAAAAGTTAGTTGCCAGTGAATAAAATCTAGTCACATTGGTGACCCCACAGGTCGCAACGTCGAGCCCTGATGCATTTCCTTGTAAATTAGTAGCAAGAATTTGGTGTTAGATCAAGATAACAACTTCTACCCAGTAATAAGTTTGAGTATCCTTACTACCTGTTTGTTGGATAATGTACAGATATTGTGGAGAGAAGTTACATCCTAATCACTTCTCTAAGAAGGTTAATCCCTTCACTGGCATGAGTGACCAAGACAGAATTTCTCCTTACAATACCAATACAATATCAAACCAACAAGTGATGAGAATAAAGAAAAATATCAACCAGTGGATTAGTAGTTGATCAGGTACCAAGTTCTCTAAAGTAACATCATAAGGATTGTCTCACAGACAGTAGGGAGAATTACTAATGAGATCTTGGGAGTGAAGGGTTAAAATATATTTAGCCTCCTGCTCTCAGCTGGGTCTTAAAGTCCCTATTCACCCTCAGAGGTTTATATATATTTCAATTCTTTGCATTATCAGGATTCATCTCCAAAAAAAAAAATTTTTTGGGTGATTAAATAATTATTTCCCGAGATATGCCACCTCAAAGTTTGTCCTTTGGCCACGCCCTTTTGATTTGGCCGGGCTAAGTTAATACTGGTTACTAAAAGTCTCTCATGATGTCACAGCAAGAATGTCTTTTGATCGACGTGCCTACATTCACTTGACTATGCCTTTAGACAAATCTGGTGTATTTGGGCAACCAGCGACCATGCAACGAGTCGGCATTTTCACATCATTTTACAGCAATAGACACATGTTCTTATACAAGAAGTTAACAATCGTTCTTGCTGTGACATCACTCGGCCCAGTAATTCTCTCCTGGCCAAGTCTGGTACATTGTCTTGCAATTCAGCAGTGAGTTTGATGAATATGCATGTTCATGGGCCTGTTGTTTATATCATTCCCTTACACATTTCTCTTTTCCCTTGAAGGTGCTGAAATTGATCCTTTGAGATTTAAACCAAATCCAGAAAACATGGTTTCAAAGGTACATGTATTTCATTATCTAATTCATTTTCTTCAACGATCTTACAAAAAGTTAGACCCTAGTTGTCCCTCTCCACACCAGGGTGATAGCAAATGAGTGCATCAGATCAGATCACAGGCAAAACACTTCAAAACAGATGCGTTTATGTAATGGATGGAAATTCACCTTCACACCAAGTACTCCTGAATAGAGTTGTTGCCTGTATGTCTCATGGGCAGTTTTAATGCAGTCAGTGTTCATTAAAAAGCAACAAGAACGTGTTGTGAATTTGTGTTAACCATTGTCATAACTCTAAGTAGAAGAGGTACTATTTCAATTTTTTTTTTAAATTTGACTTAAAAAAAGGTTGATTTTGTATTATTTGTTCTACAAGAAGTGTAGGTTGAGAAAAAAAACTATCTTTATTTATTATGTGTATTATTTGTAAAAAATAAGTCTTAATAGGTGAATTTCCAAGATAACATCTCTCCACTCTGCAGTACTTGACAATCTAATATACAAGACAGCTTATCTATTAAAAGTTTGGGCCCTCTCAAACCTGTTGAGAATTATATTTTGGTATTTGAGATCATGATCATAATTTGTTACCATAAATGTCATACAATTGATAGAATTGCTTTAAGGAATGCATTTGTTAATTTTCCAATATCATTACACAAAGCTTGATGAAGAGGATTCACAGAGCAGTGAGGAGGAAGGTGCCCCAAAAAAAGCAAAAGTTTATGTTCCTCCAAAAGTAGCTGCTGTTCCTTATGGTGAGTCTGGAAATCTTGTAATGTGTAATTTCAATGAGTCTTGTGATTTCAATAGCCCAATTTAGAAATTATGTTATTCACTGTTGGACAAAAGACTTCAACAGAAAGCTTTGGGAACAAATGAGAGAAGCTGTGAAGCCTCACGCAATTCCCTCTCTGCAGTCCACGTTGCAAACTTTTGCCGGGTGCCTTGTTAAAGGTGCTTGAGAGGAAGAAACGGGAAATGTAGTATGGGTCAACAGGCTGCAAAGATGGACGATCTCAGATTTTTTTTCCTTTTTCCCATGCTTGTGACAAGATAGTCTCCCCCGCTGCCGTTTTTAGTCTCGTCACGCAACGCTCCTCCCTACAAACTTGTGGGGAGGAGCGTTGCGTGACGAGACTAAAAACGGCTGCGGGGGGAGACTAGTGATAAGACGAATAACATATTTTCCTTCCTCCTTTGCCGAGCTCAAAATGTCAAATGTTTCGAATTTTGTTAATTCACATACTGTTTTGATTATTTTCCAGATGATGAAGATGATAAGAAGACCAGGAAAGAGAGAGATGAAGAAAGAGCCAGGAAACGAGTTCTGACAAGCTCTGTTTTACACGATCTGAGAGGTGCAGTACATTTGAACAAGACAAACCTGCAGAGCTGGCGTAATTTTGGCCAGTGCTCAATTTTTTCATAGCGAAAATTAGGGCCGTCGTCTTTGATTTTAATGGAAGCGAAAGGTTGGGGGGAGAAAGAAATTTGTACCAAGGGGGTAAGCGACAGTGAGAAAATAAGGAGGGCGCGGGGGTGGGGAATAAATGTTACTTCCCCTACCGTTGACTCTAGCAAACATGGCCACTGGAATAAACTATCGCGTGCTTCTTAACGTTAACTCGCCCTAATAACACGCCTACACTGCAGGTTAGAACAAGACGACTACATCGAAGCAACTATTGATCATACCTATACTCGCTTATCATGATTTTTTTTTTTCTTTCAGATGAATACAGTGATGCGCCACAAGAAATACGGGTATGGTTATTTACATTTGCCTCTAAGAATCTTTAAATACTTATTCTCAGAACATGTTGCCATCTCGGTCAGAGAAATTGATAGTTGAACAAATTTGTTTTAACTCTGTTTTGTCAACCATTTCTTCTTTAATTAAGTTTTTCTCTTTTTCCTAGGATGAAACTGTTTCACGGTGGAGAAAACAAAAAGAGAAGGAAGAAGAAGAGGAGCGAACGAGGTAAACTTTATGGCTTGTTCGCTATCGTTTTTGTTCAGGGCGCATTCAGATTGGGTGTCTTTAGAAAAAAACTAAAGTAATTACAACGTCCAATCAGAAGAAACTTGAATATCACAATGAGCCAATGAGGACTCAAAGCAAGTACCAGTAAACTTCCTGAAACGCGGGATAAAGCAAAGACCCAGTCGCGGTTGGTTGTCTGGCATTTAATTTCACCCCTGAATCAAACAAAGGTCACCAGAATAAAAGAAATGATCACCAACTGAAGAAGCTCTCGATTATAAACGAATTCTCCTCGTCAGCAACTTAGGAAATGTACAGAGAACAGTATGGAGAATATGCATACTGATGTTAAGGGGTTAAGGAATACATCCTATTTGTTGAGAGAGAGGTGTGAGCTTTCCAGATAAATCACTGAAAACATTCAAGAAAATTTTATTGTAACAGCTCGTTGAATTTCTACGCTACAGTTCGCTGTCTGCTATTGTCTTTTTTATTTACTTATATTTATTTTTGCGGCTACTGGATTTTTTGTGGACCATCTAAAGTTGAGAGTTTGATGCTAGTGTTTCCACTCGCTGACGGGAAGTACCAACCGTACCCATTTGAATTCCTGCTGACACTTAACATGATATTTGATTTATCTTCCATCATAGATATGAAGAGGAAAATCTACTTCGCTTACCAGCCAAGAAAAAGAAAAAGGTCAGTTTGTCTCTCAAAGTGATTTTTTGTTTATTGGTCCCTGCACGCTACTGACTAACTGAACTTTTCTTCATTGATTACCTAGATGTCAGAGCGTGCCCAGTCAGGCATGGACGAGCTGACGTCATTCGCTGATTTGTCCGTATTAAATGACGATGAAACGGTTAGTATAAAGTTATTCAGGTCACTGTGATATAGTTACTGTTTCGTCAGTTTGATTAGCGCGATAATGAATGCTGCGATGAAAGCGGCAGGGTGAAAAAAATCATGTAGGTTTAGGTCACTGGGTCGGGTCGCGTCCCGACGCAACACATCCCCAGTTTTCTCCGCCAAGTCGCAATCATCGCGCCATTTATCTTCTGGCTGATTCTTTGAGAGGCTCTCTCTGTTTGGGCTGTGATATTTACTGTTTCGTTTGTGTTTTACAGAGTGGTGATTACCCGACTAAGGCCAGGTAATTAATTTCTCTCTTTTGCGATGAAATCCTCACTTTAGGGTCAGAATCTGGTTATTTCTTTTCCACTCATTGAAAATTACTACAGTGTCGGAAGGGGATGGGTCATAATTGCGCCAGCCGTGTGGGAAATTTTAATGTTCACCTAACCATCCTTGTACATGAAACCCCAGTTGGTCCAGTCGCTAGACATTTTAATTTACCTAAGCATTCTAAGCAACATATGGCAATCTGCGGTCTTTCCGTACACTTAAGTAGCACGGAAAGCCGTAAAACTCTTGAACAAAAGCTCATCTTTCAAACCAGCAGTCTAAATCCCACAGGGACCAACGAACGCTTTTCATTCCACTAATTTATTCGTGTTTTTCTCGTTGCCATGTTCCCACCAATAACGTAGCTCCATTTTCTGCCTTTAAAAGTACACACAACCCACAAATCCTCTATTCGCTCCGACGAAGGGCTAACGCTCGAAACGTCAGCTTTTATAATCGTAACGGTGGCCAATTTACCATTTCAACTTTGTTGATATATTCAAATTACTAATTTAGACCCTGTTTATTTCTTACCAGTCCACCATTGATTCACTCAATGCGTATTCATTTCTCTTGCAGTTCACGCAGTAAAACATCGAAATCCAAGGTAGTGTCTTCTAATGATCCCAAATGTAACCCTGATCAGAGATAAAAGATAATATATAGATTTAGCCAAGCCTAAAAGCGGAGCTCCCGAATTCGTAATATTAATGATAACATAAAAGATGTGCATTTGCCAAGACCCGCCTGAGACACCCCTCCCTTCGTTTTGATAGTCTCCCCTACCCTACCCGTGCAATGTGAAGGCACGTACGTAAGTACGTACGCTCGGTCAGTCACGTGACAACCAAACAAAAAGAGATTGACCATATTCCATGGGTACGGGGCTCTGCGCAGACGTTGTAAATCACCAATTATACATTTTTGCTTTCATCCCAGTGTGAAATGCTCTTTTAATTCTGGTAACATGTTTCTTTGCAGTGGAAGAAAAAGCGAGGAGCAACGAAGAAGGGAAGGAAAGGTAAGTTATGCGGACTGAGCTGGCTTAGAATTATAAGATAATTAGGTTTAATAATGGTTGGTATTATAAATTGGCCATCGTAGAGATTTTCTTAAGCTGACGTTAAGAACGTTAGCCCTTCGTCATTCGCTCTCACGAAGAGCTAATGCTCCAAACGTCAAACGTCTACGGTGACCAATTTACATTATCAATTTAGTTGATACAACCAAATTTATTGTAATACCACCCACCGAAACAGCACCAAAGTTTCTTTCGAAACTCAGCCCCGTTATTAATTTGTCTTCATTACGATTAAAAGCGTTTTTTGCTAACAGAGAATTGTCTCTACTCTTCAATCAGGGTTCGCTGGAAGACGCCGAAGATGAAACAAGAAACTAATTGAATGAATAAAAACTGAAACTCTTTTTTTTGCTGGTCTTTATTTTAGTTATTCTAAATTGTTTTCTGTTCGCTCTCTTGGCTGAGACTTCACATCCAATCGCAGGACCAAGTAGATACTTACCAGAATGGAGTTTAGCCAAAACCAGCTGGAGACAAATCCTAAATAAACTAGGCTCAAGGGATCTCGTATCCTGCAGGACAGGCGTAATTTTTCTTCCTTTTTTCCTGTTTCTGACAAGTGGAGGCCCGCACGAGGTACAAGCGAAGGCAAGCACAAGGCACAACCGTGCGTGTCTAGCACCTTGTGTTATCCTCGTTTTTCTTTCTTTCCAGCCTCCCCGCGCCTAAAAACGCGCAAATAAAAATGACGTTTATTAGCCGCTATTTCTACGGAGGGAGTCAAGAATATCGTGCCTTGCTGGGGTGTGGGTCTCGCATGTAGGTATCTTTACAGCTTTTTGTTTCACATTTCTAGCTACCGCCAAGAAAGAAACATGATTATTCGGTTTTCATCGCTTTGTTTTGGTGACTGTGATAAGATGTTCAATAATGAATTTCAACCATTTTCAGTCGACTTTCTGGCTGGTACCTGCTGAATTGGTCAATATAAAATGTATAAAAGATGTAACTTATTGGCACCTTACTCCCTTCTTTCGTTCGTCTTTGTATGGGGTAATTACATGATATCGAGTGCAAGTTGGCCCAAAATCGCCAGTCTGAAAAATTTACTCTTTCTTATTTATACACTATAAATAAGAACGAGTAAATTTTTCAAACTGGCGAAATTGCGCGAGCCCGTTGGGCGAGTGCAATTTGTAGTCTGACAAATTTACAAGTTCCTATCTATGCCAAAATACACGAGAAATCATGTCATCACTTATTAATGATTTAAACGAAAAACACAGGTAAACAGACAATCAAAACAAGTGAAATTTTGACGACGCGCCATGTTATTCAACAAATAACCGGCTTTTTCAAATTCAACCTTTGAATAGACTATCACTCATTCCTTGGAAACGTGTGAAAATTGGTTTTAACTTGTCAAAACAATATTCTAAAGATACTTAAGCGTACAATAATCAGCAAAAATTAACAGTTCCATCGAAATCATCCTCTGTTATGAAAGCTGGGCGTTTGCAAAAGCTCGACTACCTCAGTGCTTGCTTTGAGCGTGCACCATTTGAAATTTGCTTTCGTGTTACAAGTTTGCACCCATGAAACATAAGCACTGCAGCCAATCAGAACTAAATAATTTTTTCTGTGTACACTAGTTATTCCTCTTACTGCGTTGAATGTGTTTAGTGTTGGTAAGACATTGGTTATGAAGTTACCTAAACCTGGTAGTCGTGAAAATGACTTGAGGTTAATTTGAATGCCTTGAGGAATCATCCTGCTCTAGTCTTCTGGTATATCCTTGAATATATTCTTGTAGTGCTTTTGAAGGTAAAGAACACCTCTTCAGAATCTTTGCGTGAACCCTGTCCCATCAACAATTTTGCAAAATACTATACACTGTACCTTCCCAGGTTCTATAGTCCAGTCCAGTTCCAGTCAGTTTTCGCTCAGCATGCAAGCAACAGACAGGTCTGTATTTGCTGACTGACATTTATTCAAAAGATTTTACTGGCAACAGACGAGAGACTCGGCTGTACAACTGAAAACAGGAGAAAAAGGTGCGATAACGTATATTTTCTAACCATATTTATCATATAACGATGAATCTGTATGTTTTTAGCCGAACAAAAATTTAATATGAGTATGTTGTAATTACTGCTGTAACTCAGTGAGCTGAATACGATCAATGTTAGCTGTCTGTTAACTTGCAATATTTTCGTGAATTGAAGATTTGTTCAATTGTTCATTTCCTCCCGGGTTATTGTGCATTAAAATTGTCATTCCCCACGAATCCAATTCTATATGTCGCAAAGTAAAAATGATTTGGCGTTCAGAGCACGCCACACCCTAAGCATAACCCAGCAAGTTCACGACGAATAAAGTAGCCGGTTTCATCATCACGCTTCAGTGTCGTGAAGTCGTCAATGACTGTAATGTATTTACACCTCAAAGGTAATTAATATCAGCTATAGCTCGCATGGGAAATTTCAGAAGGAGATTATGGCAAGTTACTGGGATATAGATGGGCGAGTTTCTGTTTTCAAGAGCCACCTTAGTAGAACTCGCGGAACATGTTGTGCCTTCTGATTATTAGGAAAATTTCTACGCAGTGACAGACAAATTAGTGTTCGGGAGCGAGACGGCTGTAATCCGATCGAGATTACCACCGGTGGCGGTAGTCAGATAAGACCAACCACCACCCCTCCCCTGTGGGTACGTATCTAATGTTTCGCTTACAAATTAGTGTTCGGGAACGAGATGGCTGTAATAAATCAGATTAGAATAACCCCCCCCCTCACCGGCGGCGGTAATCAGATGAGACTAACCCCCACCCCCTTCTGTGTGTACCCATCCGTTAATGTTTCATAGAGGTTTAAACGACAGAATCAGCCTGGCCGGTTGATTGGGTCTTGGGTATGTTAATGGGTGTAATTCAAGTTTCACGTAGGAGAAGGTCTTAACTCGAGACAATTTGAAGAACAAGATAATTTGTTTGATCAACTGAGTTGATGCAATGTAAATTGGGCACCATAAAGAGTTTAATTTTGTGGCTCATGTTCCAAGGCTAGCCCTCCGTCAGGAGAACACCTATGTCTGCGGTTTAAGTTGAATTACGGTGCACCCCACATAAATTGTCCCCGTTATACCTAAAGAGAAGCGTTTTCACGAATATTTAGTCAAGAATTTTATTGTTTTCAAGTCGTTCAGCTGTTCTAGAATCGAGTTGAAATCTAAGGCTTGTATGTAGGTACAGTTACTACGGATGAAGGTGATTGGTAATAAAGCCCTACTCTCATGTAACGTTTCAGTTAAATAGTATCACAAGAGAATCAAACATACCTTACCGATGGCTAAAAACTCAGCATCAAAGATAGTTTGGTTACCCCAGAGATGTTGGAATTTCGAACTCGTTTCTAATGGCTGTGTCCCCTTGTTTAGCGGCCAAAGGATCTGTCAGATCCGTAAACAGCATTAAACATCGACACTTTCCTCGCCTATTGTCTATAGGGTTAGGTCTGGTTGCATATTTTCAAAGGGTCAGGTCTGGTTACATGCGTCAAGGATAAACCTTTGCCTTGTGCTAACGTATTTCCGTTTCTGTAAAGTGCCTACAGCAATTAATCTGAAGCAAACATAAAGAGCAGTAGCTCACGGTTAGGTGAAAGCTGTAAAGCAGTGTTTCTCGATACTATTGTATATCTTCAGAGCCACTAGTAGCCGCGAAACTACGATTGGTTTCTTAACCTTTGTAACCTACATGAAATCTCACTGACCCGTGACCGACACGACCGACTTATTCACAGGCGGCCCAAGCTCAGTACTAGAAAAGCGAACGCGACTCTTACCGTGTTGCGCAACGTTTTATATTTATAAAGGTTTGTAAGGGATGTTTTCGGTTTGCCTTAAAAGAGAGAAAAAAATGTCTTGTTTTGAAATAAAATGGGCTTACCTTATTGCGTTGTTGTTTTCTTTGGTGATTCCTAGCGTCTCAGGCCATTTTGAAGCGTTTTCGGCGAGTTAGCGCTATGTTGGTGTCTTTCTTTTAGCAGTTGAACACCAACATAGCGCTAACTCGCCGAAAACGCTTCAAAATGGCCCGAGACGCTAGGAATCAACAAAGAAAACAACAAGACAATAAGGTAAGTCCATTTTATTTCAAAACAAGACATTTTTTTTCTCTCTTTTAAGGCAAACGGATAACATCCCATACAAACCTTTAGAAATATAAAACGTTGCGCAACACGGTAAGAGTCGCGTCCGCTTTTCTAGTAGTGAGCTTGGGCTACCTGTGACTTATTAGAGAATTTAAGCAAACCACAACGGCGACGGCAACGAGAACGTGGAAAAACAGTAGATCTAATTGGCAGAACAATAGCCCAGCACGTGCGTTTTAAAACTTTGTTCATTTCTTAGCCGTCCTTTGCAAAACAACAACGTGAGAGCACCAAAAATTGCGGCGTCTGAGAACCGAAACCGCGGCGGAAAATTATTTTAATTTAAATTTGGAACTCAGTGCTACTTTTATGCGTTATGTTGAGTTTTAGGTCTGGCGCCCTATGGGACGGTAAACACATGCAGCCATTTTCGAAATTCTAGAAGTAGAAACTCACTTTTTAATCGACGTCTTCCGTGGCGTTGCCGTCGTGACTGCTTGAGTTCCCTATTATCAAAAACTTTAAAAATCTACTTTGTGGTTTTCGCTTCCTGAAAAACAGAGCCCTCGGAATCTTCTGTACCTTTGCACCTTAAGTACCGCAATGCACTTCTTTTAGGTCTTCCAAATTATGAACTTTCAGAAATTTCAAAACACCGCAGCTACAGTTATGTTCCAGATTACGAAATTTTTATGTCTTATTGATTAAGCGTAAGGTCAAGAGGGCTGGGTATTGGCCGAGTTCTTTTTTGTTTTGTGTTTTTTTGTGTTTTTTGTTTTTGTTTTTTGTTTTTTTTTGTTTTTGTTTTGTGTTTTTTTGTGTTTTTTTTTTTTTCGTTTATGTGGAGCGAGACGAAATCGAGGTTCATAAAAATGCAAAAAAAGAACGAAGCTTCTCGCGACATTTACTTGCAGTGGCGGATATGTTATAGACCACTTTCATAAATGACTGCCAGATTAATATTCTTTTGTTTAAACTTAAATTAGCCTTTCTGGCTTCGTTCTCCAGTTCAAAATTCAAAAGAATACATTATCTCAAGTGAGGCCAGAAAGGCTAATTTGAATTTAAACAAAAGAATATTAATCCAGCAGCCATTTTTGAAAGTGGTCAATGGATCTGTAAAATAAGCGGCGAAGCGTAAACAGGGAAGCTCTCATTGGTCGAAGTTCACGCGCGCTTTCCTCCGAAGGGAATACTACCTTAGCTCATTATCTTGTGAAGGCGGAGCTAAGAAACAAAGACCTCGTAACTTATCGCTTCGTCCATTGTTTCTGATATCACATTAAAGTGCGCGTATTCAAACTGGCTATTTCAAGCGTTGTATTCTTAAAGTCCATTGCGTTCGATTTTTACCAGAAGCCATGACACTTTCATCGCTCGCTACAACTTAATCAACAAACATTTCGCTTCATATCAACAGTTTGAAAAACAGCAGGTGTTTCTATTGTTTGTCGCTTAGGACTCGATTGTCTCATTGAAAAATTACTTATATCATAAATGTAGGACGAAATAAAGTCTTTTGAATCGCTCTAACGCAAGTTTTTCCGAATCGACGAAAGGAAAAAACAAAACAAAACAAAACAAAAAAGACCTCGGCCAATACCCAGCCCTCTTGACCTTACGCTTAATCAAAAAATGAATTTCTACTCTTAGTTCGAATTTCAAAAATGGCTGCAGGAGCTTACTGCAGGAGCTTACAGCGCCACAGCTCGACTTCAGCATGACGTATAAAGTACCCGTTGAGTTCCAAATGGAAATTAAAATAATTTGCCGCCGCGGTTTCGATTCGCAGACGACGCAAATTTTGGCAATTTCACGTTATTTTGCATAGGACGGCTAAGAAATGTACAAAGTTTCAAAACGCACGTGCTGAGCTATTGTTCTGCCAATTAGATCTATTGTTCTGCCAATTAGAACTATTGTTCTGCCAATTAGATCTATTGTTTTTCCACGTCCTCCTTGCCGTCGCCGTCGTGGTTTCTTAAGGTCCCCTAATAGGGAACTTAAGCAGTCAGGACGGCGACGTCACGGCAGACGTTGATTAAAAATTGAGTTTCTACTTTTAGTTAGAATTTCCAAAATGGCTGCATGTGTTTACCGTCTCATGGGGCGCCAGACCTCAAACTCAACATAACTCATAATGAGTTCCTTGAGTTCCAAATGTAAATTAAAATAATTTGCCGCCGCGGTTTCGCTTCGCAGACTACGCAAATTTTGGGGATTTCACGTTGTTGTTCTGCAAAGGACGGCTAAGAAATGTACAAAGTTTTAAAACGCCTGTGCTGGGCTATTGTTCTGCCAATTAAATCTATTGTTTTCCCACGTTCTCGTTGCCGTCGCCGTCGTGGTTTGCTTAAGTTCCCTAAAGTCCCTATTGCTTCACAACCCCGGTTCTCTTTGAGATGTCGAAAACAGATTTTTGGAGGTCTGCGTTTCTGAGGTCTGCGTTTTCGAGGTCTGCGGTCTGCGGTTTGCGGTCTGCGTTTTCGAGACTCCCGATTATTTACTATCGCTGGAATCGTCAGCCGTGTGGAAGGCTACGTTGGGAAAAGTTTAGTGGACCTCGATAAGTCACAAGTATCTCTGAAGAGAACTGTGAGTTGTGCAGTAGTTCACAGAGGTTATAGTTTTATAGAGGTCTCTTAGATAAGAGGATAGTTATGACACTAATTATTGGTATCGCTTCGTAGTTCTTACGTCAGTCAACAAAGTAGTTGAGTTGGTACGAGTTGTATTTTTCTGTCGGTGGTGAAAACACCGTGACACATAATTTATCTAAATTTGGGTTAGACCGAAGCATCTTGCTTTTAACCGGAGTTGGATAACCATTGATTTTAAGAGATGATGATGACCACTAATCTACTTTAAAGAACCATTGCGATACATTCGTGAAATCTTAGTGACACCAATACTCATATCATATCGAAATGGAAGTTCCTCTGATTTACCCTTTTGGCATTTACGTACATAAGTGTTTACGTACTACAAGAAGGGGAAATGGTAGCCGCACTTGTCGAAAATTCGCTCCGTGACGCCATCATTGCCACGACCAAAACCAATTGCAGATGCGATGAAGAATAATCGGTGATGTTTCACTGTGGCAAAATATTTACACGGCTGGACTTCCACGTCTGGCTTTGCCTAAGGAGGGTCGTTTCTGGGAATTATATCATCATAGGTTTCGGCGTCGTCTTGCTATTTGGACTCGTCATCTTCCTGTTTGGATAAATGTTCTCCTGCCCGATGTCGATCTTAGAATCCATCATTGGTATGACTGTGCCGTTTGTGAAAGAGAATTGCTTTAGACGAGTGAAACAAGCTTAGGCAGGTCAAAGAGATGCTGAAATGCGATGCGATATGATCAAATGATACATGTGATTACCGACGGTTTTAAATTTTGCACGAAATAAATGTTTTAATCCGTTTGTCAATACTCATCAGACGTTATGCAAATTATGAAAAGCCAAGGGTCACATTATGTTTACGTTTCTCAGAAGAGGTTAAAGGAGGTTTTAATATTGTTAGAACATCATCGAGAAAGACAGTCTAAAACTGTTTTCCTCCAGGTACATAAGAGAGAGTCTCAATTAGGGTTAACCGTCAATCGTCAAATGGGCAAAATATTGACCGTCAACCGTCAAAGATGCAATATTTTCAGCCATTTTGACCGAAAAAGTTTGGTCAATTAAAGATCTGTTATATAACAAAATAAATTCGTTTATTTTTTTCTATATTTTGACTGTCTTCTGCCGCTTTTTACGACTTCGTCGCCGACATTGTTTAAAAGTTACAAACTTTGTAAGTCCTCTCCACGCACTTTTTCTCCCTGTGAGGGATGAAAGCGGGCAATCCCGAGTGGGCAAGATGGGCCCATCTGTCCGCTCGGATAGCCAATCAGAACGTAGTATTCGCTTCAACTTGCCCACGGGTGCTGCTAGCCATATGATAAGCGGCCACATCAAACTGGCCGTCAACAACCTACACTGGCTTCCTGTATAATTTTTTGAGTTTTAAATTGTTTCTTTTTGTTTTGGAGTCGTTCAACAAACTACGTCCATCCTACATTAAAGATCTCTTGTCTCTAACCATGCTCTTTGCTCATCAATGCAATCTCTCTAATTTGTTGTTAGGAAGCTTTTATACAATGAGTCTGGTCGGAAAAAACACCAAAAATAAACACTAAACTAATATCCAGATCCTTCGGAACGGCTCTAAACATAAACTAATCCCGAGATCCCTCGGAACTATTCTCCAAAGCACAGCGACTGAACTTTAAAACTAAACAATGACTACCAATTGTTAACAAGATTATTCAACAAAGAATGTCACCAGGTCGCAGACGTTACGCGACAACAACAAAAGTCATAACGTTATTATCTTTGTTACAAGTTCTTGAACGCCTTCTGCACAGTTTTTAGAGTCAAAGTCCTTCAACAGAATCCCACGGGGAATTCAAATTTAAACCGACATCACTCAAAAGCTCAAAACGTGATTGTGTTTCTTTGTTTTGTAAGCTTGAAAACTGAAGTATTTTTTGTTTCTCTTTCATGGTTGAACAAGGGATCAGCAAGTTATCTTTCGATTGAACGCTTCTAGCGTTTATTTTCAGACTTGTATGACGCTGATGAACCCATATTTATAGAAAGATTGATTTTACTTTTTATCATATCCGTACGCCGAGACCAGTTTGATCAGTTTTGGAAAGCGCGAAATTATGTGACGAAAAATTCATGATAAAGAATTGAACTTTTTTCTAAAATAAGTTAATTTCGGATCGAATCACGGACCGGATCACGGTCCGGATTACGAAAAGGATCACAGACCGGATCACGGACCAGATCACAGATTGGATCACTGATCATGGCGGTTGTAAATTTTAGAGCTCCGTTAATATGCCTCTTCATCGGCTTATTTCTACGATTATACTCACTTCAATGCCCGAAATCAAATGCTTTTAACGCACTGGTCCAAAGCCATGTCTCTATAAAGCCCGAATCTACAAATCTGCTAGGTTTTGAAGCCCTCATAAAAACGCATTATCAACAACGCCGTTCTACTACGTTTGCTTCTACGTAGTGCATCCTACTCAAACTACTTCTGCTATGTGGTGAAATCAATGTAAACCCTGGCCCAGCTTGGAAATTTCCTTGCAAGTCATATAAAAGACCCGTAAAACTACCCAACTAGGTATACAACGTGATTCATGCGATTCTTGGTTACACGCATGTTGTTTAAGCATGGGCAACGATGAATATCAATCACTTGCAAATTCGTCCTGTTTGTAGATCTGTCCCGAATACGACGTTCCTAACTTCTCAAATTCGATTTTGGATCTATCTACTACTGCTTTTCTGGCCTTATATAACTCCTTTAATGTTCTGTTTAACTCTGTAGCTAATATTTCAAACAATTTTCGGATTTCAAGTCCACCGAAGTGTGCACAGAGGCGTAACAAAAGATCTAAATTAAAAGGAATGATAATAAAATGCAACAACCTCAAAAATGTTAACCATTCTACTGAATTCAAAGCACTCTTGGAGCTTCATGATCCAGATATTGTCCTGGGAACGAAATCTAAACTTAGTCCGGATATTCCGCCGTACTCAATTTTCCCGCAATCATATACGATCTTCAGAAACGATAGAAATGCTTTTGGCGGCGGGGTCTTCCAAGTAATCACTGAAGAATGATCTAGTATCCATCGAAGAACCTGACTTCAAACTGGATGATTGCGAAGTCCTATGGTCTTCCCTGAAAGTGGACAATCACAAAACGTTCTACCTTTCAACCTTTTACAGACCACCAAACTCGCCTGCCGAGATAAAGTCGATCATCTTAATGACACCATTAAGAATGCCTTCGCGAAAGTCCCAAACCATCCGAACATCATCATGGGTCGAGACTTCAACTTGGGCGATATGGATTAGAACCAATAGATCCCGTGTACAACCAATCCTGCTACCACGGCTCAGCATGACAAATTTATGCATATGCTTGACGATTACCGCTGTCCACAAGAAAGACAATAAATCTGCTCCTCCAAACTACCGGCCAATCTTATTAACTTCCATATGCTGCAAGATAATAGAGCATATAGTGCTCAGTCATTTAGCTAAACAAAATAATTTGGATATATCAAAAAAGTTGAAATGGTAAATTGGCCACCGTAATGATTACAAAAGCTGACGTTTCGAGCGTTAGCCCTTCGTCGTCGCTCGAAACGTCAGCTTTTGTAATCATTACGGTGGCCAATTTACCATTTCAACTTTGTTGATATATCCAAATTATTTCGTTACTCCCACCGACGCAGCCCCAAACAGTTTCTTTCGAAACTATCAGCCTTTATTCATTTAGCTAAACACCTGTCGAAAAACAGTATCATCATAGACGAGCAACATGGTATCCGTCAGCGTTACTCTTCTGAAACACAATAGACCCTTTCAAGGTTAACGCCGCCATTTTGCCGGGGGTGCAAAACTGCTGGGGCGAACGCAAAATGTACAGTGAATGTATGGGAAAAGTTGAGAAAATGATGCTCGATAATTTGAGGAAGGTTGACATCGTGCAATTAGTATGAATTACAAACTAAAGATATCAGACCTATCATTTTACCGATCAAATTTGAGAAATGAAGTCTCGCGAAAAAAGCCGCAAATTAAGATTTTAATTTTCCATATATTTGTCTCTAAAACCAAACCGCCGTTTCCGGGAAAATTTAAAGGCATTTGTATGAAAAACTAAAAATAAGATTTCTCACTTCTCAGTGAGCCTGTACCCTTCAAGTTTAATAGGCAACATCTTTTGTTAGGTATCTTTACTTCATGTTTCATGGAAATTGCAGAATGTCAACCTTCCTCAAATTATCGAGCATCAATCTCCCGACTTTTTCCGTACATTCACTGTACATTTTGCGCTCGCCCCAGCAGTTTTGCACCCCCGGCAAAATGGCGGCGTTAACCTTGAAAGGGTCTACTAATATCTGTCATGCGGTCTACTAATATCTGTCAATGCACGCAACCAGACAGACGCCATTCTACTTGATTTCTCGAAAGCTATTGACTCCGTCCCTCACCAAAGGTTACTTCTGAAGCTAGACTATTATGAGATTAGAGGGAACGTCCTGCTGTGGATCAAAGCCCTCTTACTAAATTGATCTCAATGTGTTTCAAGTAATGGCATCAAATCGACTTCCAAGCCCGTTCTATCTGGTGTCCCACAAGGCTCTATAATGGGTCCAGTATTATTTCTACTCTACATAAACGACATCTCTAAATCTGTTACCGCCAATCTGCGTCTTTTTGCCGATGACTGTATCTTATGTAGTGAGGTGAAAAGTAAAGAGGATTGCTTGTCTCTGCAGGACGACCTGGATCAGTTATGCGCTTGGTCTAAAACCTGGCAACTCGGTTTTAACGTTAAAAAATGCTACCATCTAAGTGTTACATGTAAAAGAATTCCAAACCTCCACCAATATACCTTAAATGGCTTGCCAATAGCCAAAGTGGACTCCACAAAATATCTCGGAGCAGCAATATGAAGCAAGCTGAGTTGGAATGAACATGTAGACCAATTCTGCAAAAACGCCAACACCCCCTACTTCGGCAGCCCCTACATAAGTGTAATTACACCTGTGACTTCCCCCGTCTCAAAATAAACATTTCGTTGCTCCTGATTTCCTCCAAATTTGGTGTGTCTGACGTTGAAATATTAAACAAATTACGTTCCGAGTTTGGTGGTAGACGTTTGAATGTAACGTACACAACACCCATTTCAAATTTCAAGTTTCACTCGAGGAGAAGGCGCTGCCCTCCAAGCAGGCGCGTGTGAGTAATATCTCCACCGAAACGATACTGGAAGAGCTATTTAATGAGAAAAACATTTCGGATGGGATGGAAAGTGGATAAAGAAGCGATTCTGACCGGTAGCTAGAAAATGAGAGTGGAGAATCGAGGTAAGAAGTCTAGTAATGTTATTGCGAAATCGTCGCCATCGACCGCGTGGTCTTGAGATTCAAAGCTGTTCGCCTCAGGCTGTCCTTTTCTGTTAGATTTCTCGCGCAACTCTTCAAATTTGATTTAAAATTGATTTACGGGACTCCAGTAAACAGTAATTTACGCCGAGAACATGTTTTGTAGCGATAAATGCGAAGCGATTCGAAGTGTAATCGATACCTCGTTCGATCTTTTGAATTTTTGAAATTTATTTCGAATGATATGGGCGCAAATAAAGATTTGTTAAAAAAATCAATATTAATTCTTTTTCTTTCAAATTGTCAGGACATATTGCTAACATGTTTATGATCATCTTGTGTTAAACAATCTGCCATATCCTGTGCTTATGTAGCCTCCCTCGCAGCCGTTTTTTTTGGATGTCACGCAACGCTCCCCCAAAAGAACGGCTGCTGACAATCGAACTACATTCCTTTCTCCGAATTGGCCAATGACAGTTCGGGTTCCTTTTTCAGGAACCTTTTCGCGCCAGACTCACCTTTTGAGACCCGTACAATCAGATATCGTTTTCTATCGCGATCCTCATGTGGAAAACACAAGAGAAATGGCGGTGCTTGAAGGAGCTTTTTGCAAAGCGTCGTCAAAGTTAAAAATTTTCGAGCTTAAAGCTCACCAGAAGCTTACAATTAAAAAAAGTTTTAGTCGAGAAAGAAGATGTTTTTGTTAAGTTGCCTACAGGATACGGGAAATCGTTAATATATCAAGCACTCCCGCTCGTGTTTGACCATGTTACCGATGAAAGTGGTCATATTATTGTTATTGTTGTTGCGTTGTACCAACGTGCGGAAACACTCGATAATTCGGGCCGATTTCCTGTACCGGTGATAAGAAGCCACGAACATAACTAATCGGGTTCGCTCCAGCTAGCAGCGGACTGGCAAATGAAGAAGTACAAGTAGTGTAGGAGACGTTGGCCGACCTAAATTGCAGTGTTCTCGAAGCTTCGCCCGGTTTGTTGACGGCAAGCACGCGCTTTTTTCCTCCTGATCTCCATCTGTAGGTCGAAGCAAGCGTTTAGCCCTTGGCCTAGATTGAAAGGCGTCTTGTATTTCCTTTTGATTATTGATGTAATTTACTGTTTCTTATATATTCTGACTTTTATAATCTGTAGTAACCTCTTGAAATAGTGCGAATAAAGAGTTTCAGTTCAGTTTTTAGCTTCTTCTACTTTCTCAGTTGCTCGCTGAAACTTTAACAACCGCTCAAACAATCTAGCGTTCGTGTCGTTGGCGTAGCAGTTGACGTCTATGTTAAGCGTAGATTCTATAATTTCAACGAAATTGTGAGAAGTTTTCCCAAAAATATATACTCTATCTTTACCAGGGCACAATGAAGAACATGTGAAACATTTCGAGCTCTCATCGACAAATTTCTTCAGTGTTTCTCCCAACATCCACATTTTCGCGTGAAACCTTACGTCATTCAGATTTTCTGGTATGTGATTGGTCTGTTCAATAGACCGCGACCAAACCGCAAGGACAATGAGGAAGGAATGTAGTGACACTGCGGAAATACGTTTTCGTGACGTCACAGTAACTGGTCAGTGGTCATCAACTTTAGGCTGCCAAGCGCTTCCATATGTTTGTAGATTGAGTTGGATGAAAACATCAGCCTTTTGCGTGGTTTTAAGTTGGAAAATATGCATGATAATTCTCCTTGTTTGTTATATTCGATCCTTTGAATGGGATTTAATACTAAAACCATGTCTTAACAAATAGCGGTGTAGGCGAGTCATTTTGTTTGGAGTTGTGTGCTGTTTTTTCACTTAGATTGGCCGTCCAGTTACAAGGCCGAAGCGCGATCTTGGTTCTTCAGTTGCCCTCGCTTTCAGAATTGTCAAAAACAGCGATAGTTATCCAGACAAAGCAGGAGATTAGTTCTGTAAGATACTTTTCCAGCGAGTCTGATGACTGGTTGGATTTTTAAGTGTTAGAAGCATGAAGTGATACAGGTAATTATTGTGTTGTGAAAATATTCATACACTCACTTTTCGCCGACATGTGGTGCCTTTTCATTTTGGTAATTATTCGCTTGGATGAGAATTTTACTTTTATAGACTGATTTTTCGCCATTCCACCCTTCTGATTTTCTGTGCCCTCAAGAACAGGTGTCCGTAATCAAAATATGAAAACATTTGTTCATCTCATATACTTGCAGTTTTATCAACAAGTTATCGCGTGAACAGGCACACCAAACGTAATAAAGACATGTTATAGAGATCTACTATCAACTGCTGTCAATAAAGGTTTAATTCAAGATAAATTCTAAATGAACCGATCTTGTTGGATGGTCTCAAAAATTGCATCTTTTCAGCGCCCTCAATCAATCGCCTATATAATAATCTTTGTCGAGCCTTAGCGCAACAAACAATTCACAATTTCTTCGATTTCCACTTCCTTTGTAAACATCACTAAACAAGCGTTATTCTGCTGCAACAACAGCCACTTTAATTTCCCAAACAGCTCTAATTGTTCTACACGAAAGCATTTTCAAAGAAATCCACTTTATTATTATTATTATTATATTTTTATAACTCAGTCATTTGAAACTTTTACAGGCACATGTATGTTTACCTGAAGTATATTCCACTATCTTGCATGTGCATTGTATTAATTTATGCAAATAATCAACTACTCTTCTTCCATTCATTTTTCTTTAAGCTTGTAGCTTTGCTTTGCTTTACATACGCATCACATGCTCTGCCACTGTAAGGATAATTATGATCCCCATCAGTAATATTACATCATATCCCTACAGAACATTGTTATGAAACATTCCTATTTGACTTGTAGCCATTTTCTTTCAAGGTGGCAAAATATATGTATATTGCCGAAATTAGTTAAGAATTTCTTATTGACTACAACTAGTGTAGCCATACCAGTGCTCCCCTCCCCAGTAATAAGTTGGGAAANGACTTGTGGTGGAAATCAGAGTCATCACTGTATAAACGACGAAGTCTTAGAAACTGAGAAAAAGGAATAGAATTCTTAACGTGAGATGGATGCGAAGACGAATATAACAAGTAATTATGCGAGTCTGTAGGTTTGTAATACACACTAGTGCTTACACCGTTACCTTCAATTGAAACTGACTTTGATGTCTAAGAAGGATAAAGAATTGTCAGAAATTTCCCAGGTATATTTCAGAGCCGGGTGAAAAGAATTGACTGCGGTTATGAATTGAGTGAGCTCCTCTCTGGTAGAGGAGGTAGCGCCGGTACAGTCGTCGATGTAGCGACCGTAGAGTTCAGGTTTGGACCCGTTGTATTGGCTGAAAAATTGATGTTCGACAAAACCTACAAAAAGGTTGGCATGGCTAGATCCCATTTTGGTGCCCATGGCACATGTACATTTTGTATGCTAGAGAGTACTTTTATTAAACAAAAGGCACTCGAAACGGGTACATTAGATATGGGAAACACCGCTGCACAATTGGATTGCAGTCTAGCAGTCAACAACTCACCAAGTATAGTAAAGAATGGGACGAAATGTTCATTTCATAGGAATTTTAAATAAAACGGCAAAGAATAATGAACAATTTTTGTTCCAAATCATCTAAAAATCCCCCCAAATCCCATTTTTTTCTAGAATTCCCTCAAAATTTCTGAAAATCACCTAATGTTCTAAAAATCCAAACAAAAATCCGGCTCTTTTTGTCTAGGCCTAGTTTGCTGTCGATGCGGCAAAGTTATGGGATTTGAAACCTCCACAATCTTTACTTGTCTTCATAACGTAAACACTGCCCGCAGGTGCTGCAAAACATCGTGCTCCAAGATGGCGTGCTGCATGATGCAATCCGAGCCAACTCGAACCAATCTTCCCCACCCCGGCGTTTTTGAGTTTTCTTTTTTGCCGTGAGGAATTTCTTTTCGTCTAAAGGAATTTCTTTTCACCGTGAGAAATTCTTTTCGCCGTGAGTAATTTCTTTTCACCATGAGTAACTTCTTTTCGCCGTGAGCAATTTCTTTTTGCCGCGAGTAATTTCTTTTTGCCGCGAGTAATTTCTTTTTGCCGCGAGCAATTTCTTTTTGCCGCGAGCAATTTCTTTTTGCCGCGAGCAATTTCTTTTTGCCGCGAGCAATTTCTTTTTGCCGCGAGCAATTTCTTTTCGCCGTGAGCAATTTCTTTTCGCCATGAGCGATTTCTTTTCGCTGTGACAGTTGCGGGCCACCGTAGACTTTTACCTCGAGTTTTGCATTATTATTTTGCTTATTTTGTGTTTTCAATTTATTTTTTCAGGAAAGTCCTCGGTTTCAATTATCAAATTTACATATTCCTGAGAAGCGCATTTTATACACTTTAAAATGAGATATTGTAGGTGTTATTGCTGTAAGTATTTGTTGAGATGTTAAATAAAAACTTAATGTCAACAAGAGTTGCGGTTTTCCGCCGGTTGGTAGCTAAGACGTCAGGGAGCTAACCGGCCTTCTCCGCCGAGTTTTGTCAAAATGCGACCGTAAAGTTAAAGAGACTGCATATCGTACTCTTGTACGTCCCAAACTTGTAGACGCATCGTGTGTATGGAACCTCACAGTCAACGAAACATCAGTAAACTTGAATCCGTCCAACGTAGAGCTGCTCGGTATGTCTTAAATGACTACTCGCGGTTTAGCCTCGTGACACCCATGATTGATACCCTTGAATGGGACAAGCTCCACTACCGAAGGCTACTCTCCCAGGCATCAATGTTTTATGAAATTCATTTGGGTCAAGTAGGCATTACCTTTCCACCTGATGTCAAACCAAACACAAGATCATCCTCGTGAGCTTCAAACTACATCCCCTTTGGACAACTTAGAGTAATAACGATGTTTTTAAATTTTCCTTTTTTCCTAGAAATATAGTTCAATGGAATAGTATTCCACACTCATGCACTAGTTAATAAATAATAAATAGTTTAGCAATGGACATTCCACTGGGTGGCTCCTCTTTTCCTCTTTTTCCAGATCGAATTGGAATTTGGAATGTTGGTTTAGACAGTTTAGACGCTTTTAATACTAATACTAATACTCTTTCGATTATCAAAGAAGCTTACCTTCTGTTTTATATTCAATTAATTTATTAAGTATGAATTTGTTAATTTATATGCATATATTCATTTTTAGTTTTTATTGTACATAGATTATCTCCTGTTTATGGTCTTCACTGCTTTAGGAGTATTTGATTAAAGATTAAAGACCCAGGGGTATTGTTCAAAACGATGCACTGTTTCTGATTCTTCCTTGGGTCACATGGTTGTTCCATTCAACATTTCCATGCAGCGATGTTGAGTTGATTTTGTTTACATGTAGTTTTTGCTCGCTCCCCAGAAGTTTTTGGAATCCTGATTAGGCAACGAGACTTCAGGTAATCGCCCCGGGTAAATGGTAGTTCCGGTTCTAAACCAGCGCGGAATACACAGTAAGTTGCTAACTTACGTGTTGTTATCATTCTTTTGCATCTTTTGTATCATTCTGTTATCTTAGTTGTAGAAGTTGGCAATCCCTAAGTATCGTACGTGGCGAATGTTGAAGAGGATGGCATACCTCACACACATAAGTGAACGCGAGTTTTCTCAAGATGACATCGCATATCTTGCAAACGAAGCAAGGGACTTTTGTCTTGCGAGAGGAATGGTTTATAAAGACTCTCTTGGTAAACCACAACACATTCCTTTCACACTTTTCCCTTCACCTTTTCCAAAGAACCTTTTTTCTGCTGCGAGGGAAGTTCAAACGGATTTCAACATTCTTGTTCACAAAGCCAGCCAGGACTACCCATTTGCAAAGAACGCTCTGGCCAGGTAAATAGTCTTCCTAGTCAGTTTCTTTACGTCGTTTACTGGTGGTCGGTTTGTACGTTCAAGTCGTGTCGGTTTTGCAAATTAACTATGTTGCTGAGAGTTGTTTCCCACGATTTCATGAGAACATGGGGAAATATATATGAGAAAGGGTTATGGTTCGTCTTGAATTCCATTATAAAGTACAGGAAAACTATTGTGTTTTCTGAGGCTCAAGGGAACAGTGAGTTTTTAGCATAGATGAACGTCAGTGTCATATATTTGCATTTTAACTCCCTCAAAGGTGATTTTTTTCGCCGTTTCCTTACTCCCTTGCAAGTTGTTGTAAGTGACTGGGAACCTACTTTAGGTTAACCGTCAGTTGTGCAGCGCTGAAGACTTTGATCGTAATGGAAAATTGCTGACGAGTTTGTCAAACTTCCAATTTGCTTTGGGAATCAAAGGAGCGCAGAAGATAAAATTACGGAGCGACATCACTTGATAAAGTTTCATTATGATGAGCTGGTCAGATCGTCCCTTAAGATCATGGGCGAAAAGAAAATTTAAATATTTTCTTCCTCACCCCTCCCTTGAAGGCCTTTGTTATCAGAAAATATAGTAGCGACAATACGCAATGTTTGCAGAGTGCACCTATCCACTGGGAGGTGTGTAGAAGCGCTAATCCGCATAACTGGCGGTGGCATAGTGATTTGAAGTATTGAGCGGCGAAGTGGCCCTGAACCACTCAAATATGTGAAACTGCACCAAATGGTGAATTTTCACCAAAATGCTCTGAGACCCATTCAAAGCGCCAAGTACATCTCCTACTAAATATAAATAGTATCGACCTCAGCAAGGACTAAGAAGCTGTTTCAAACCCCATACTTTATTTAATTGGTGCATTTGACTTTGGCCTGAGAAGGGATCGCTCAAAGGTGCAAGCGAAAAAAAAAATAAATAAAAAATAAAAAGAACAGTCCCTTTCATCACATGTTATCTTTATTTCATGTCAGCACAATATCTGCTGATCCCTTCACAGCGAAGCTTTTTCACATTTACGAGAAGGTTTGGGAGCAAGGAACAGTTCAGGTAAGCATTAGCGATTTACTTCGGTGTCCAATGATGTTTGTTTAACGAGACTCACCATAGGTGGTAGTTCGTTGTCATTCCTAGCTCTCTGTCATGATCATTATCATTATTACTGCTGCCATGATCAAAACTTGACAAAATTATCGAACGTGATTGGTTATCAGCAGATTTGAGCACTAAAAGGACACTATACATTTTATGCCTTTGTAAGTGCGAGCTGAGGCACAAGATAAGACATTTGCGCACAAAACATTGTGCGTATTTAGTCGAATAAGTGCCGCTCCTTTTATTAAAATAAGCGGCACCTTTCCTGTGCGGCGCTTATTCGTATAATTCTTCCAGAAGCTGGTTTAAATCATAGCCTGTCGAATATCCTGAGGGAGCTAAATTAAAATCCTTTAGAATGAATAGATTCATACAGAAAAGAGGTATATACATTCCTACGCTGGAGCTTACAGACTCAAATCACAAAATTGAAATGGGACATTAATTCGTCGCGTTCAATTATTAAAAAAATTTGTTGCAATCAAACTCGAGATTAATAAATCGGAATCCAATCGCGTGGTTTTCCAATATTATCCATCACTCGTATAATTTCCGACCAAATTCGACTTCAGTCTTTAATATCATTATTATCCTCATAGAAGTAGTAGCCTCTATTTGGCGCGAAAATATTCACGGATATTGTCCACGGACACTATTTGTTCCTCATCTAAGGTACGAACAGTTTTCCGAGAGCGAGGCTTAAGGAAAACTGTGAGCTTCGAGGAAAAGATAATATCCGAGGACTAATCTATGAGCATATTTTCGCGCCATTTTGAGGCTATTGTGTTTGGGATCCTTCGAATGTTTTTCAGCGCACGGTAGAAACTTTTACGAACTGCTTACTGTTTTCTGCGTGGGAATCTTTCTGTTGAGTGTTCTCTGACACGACTTTGTGAAAAAAGAAATCAGATATTTCCCTTCTTTTGTAACAACCACGAAACGCTCTCTAATCTTGAAGTAGATTTTGAACAGACTTATCTTAGTGGACGTAAGGTTTGAAAATTGGGGACGATCACTTGGTTGATATCCTCGGATATCCCTCAGTTTTACCTGGAGAATATTCGGTCACGTGATACGTTTATACCAATCGAACGTGAGCAAAAATATTTGATGGATCGTAATCTTAAATATTATAATTAATATTATTATTATTATTATTACCATTATTATTATTACTATTGTCAAAGTGAAGCGGCTCATTTAAGTATTCAATGACTTCAGCCAGTTTCACTAGGAATATTCCGATCAGACTACATGATTGACACGACAGGAAAATCACACAGCGAATGCCATAGTCACACCACAACTGATGTCTCTGACGAAAATAGCAATGCACTTTGCATAAAGCAAGTTGAAATCAACACCATAGCGCTCGGTGGGATCGCATTCTCTTGCCTTGTTCCAGAGATGCACAGGTAGCGTTTCTTAAACGTTTACTGTTAAAATAGCGTAAAATGCGATTTGTTTTTAAATATACAGTGATACCTCTGAGAATTTACAAAGCCTGTGGCCCAGGTGCCTCGATTCCGTGCATCTTTAAAAAAAACCGCTTTTATGCGGGCTCGGATCTAATATCTGCCATTTAGACCGGGGGAAGAAGGGGAGGGGAGGAGAGGGTGAAGGGGAGACTCTTAGAGGCCCTACCACAATATTAATTATTCTGTGGCCAATTGTAGATCCCTTCTTAGTTACTTTGGGCCGGTTAGTTACACGAGGTCTAACTCAAACCGCGGTTTGACGCAAGCAGTGGGCCTCAGTGTCACTCTGTAAGAGGATTGGTTTATTTAAATAAATGTTACTCCACTAATAAGCTTTTGGCTCTCTTGAGACTGTCCACGAAAATAAATGTCCTGGTAAAAGGTTCGGCTAAATTGAAGATTGCTTAGAACGTAGTTTTGTCAACCAGTAGCTAAATGTTGTTTAAATAACCGGCCCTTTCTGTTTATATATCTACCCAAGTTTTAAATTCTTACTTATTAGAATAATCTTATCCCTAAAATCTCGAAAATGTACGACCACATTCTAGTAATGCAATGTAGTCAATCTAGACGTAAAAATGCGACCTCATCCAGCGGCACATTCTCATAAGCCCATCATTTGAAAGTACCCCCCCTCCCCTAGAAATTTAGATAATCAAAACAGGTTTGGTAGGCGGATGATGGAAATCCGAACATCGCATTTTGTTAGTACTAAAAAAACGTGGACGTATACAAATTTTCGTTAAAAATCTTTTTTTTTTTTCATTAACTTTTTCGCTACTCGTTTCGTGATCTTGCAGTTTGTGTCTTCCGGAAGACTGATGTGTCGCATTTTTTGCGAAAATTTTGTGGATCTTCTAAATCGCTTTAATTTCAGCACGTCTTAGTTTAGAACATATAATTTTTTCTTGGCTATGTAACGGATCATGACGAAGAATTAAATGAAAGCGACTCTATCAAAGGGTAGGTTGCACAAAAACTCAACAGCAGAGCCATGCGTTCAGAATAGCGACAGGTCGTCTTCAAGCAGTGCATGGTTGTGTGGGAATTCTCGGACTTAAGTCCAGTGACGCGATTTTCAATTATACGAAAAATCACCTAACCCTTGAAGATGTTCCAATTTTTCTGGATGTAAAATGTTGGTTTCCGCCGTTATGGGAGCCTAGTATGAACACAATCTGCGGTTGTTTCCTTCTAAGGTATCTCCTTGAGTTGATAGGACAAAAGAACAAGGTGAGGCAACTTGTAGACCCTTTCAGGCATTTTAAGCCTTTCTCATCTAGTTACACTTCTTAAGAGAGAGATATGCTTTCCGTCTTGAAGAAGGATCTTGTCGATAACGCAATGTTATCTCTTCATATGAAATAGAGCTCTTTGCTTTCTCCATATTCTAATCAGTGTCTTTTAATGCATAAGTTTTCGTGATTCTTTCGAGTAGTCGAAGGTGCATAAATCCTTTGAAAGATCAGAGCACGCGTCTTAAGACTAGGGAGAGTCATGTTTAGAGACCTTAGCCTAGTTGTTCGAGGGAAGATTAGCGTTAACCCAGGGTTAAATTCTAATCCAGGTTTATATAATTCATTGGTTCAAAGGCGTTTTAGGGATAATTTTCTCTATCCCTTTTAGAGCATTCAATCTTCAAAATTGTAGACCAAAAGAATTATTTTATCGAGTTTTCTTTTAAAGCTCATAGATCTGAATCCAGATTTCCCACTAACCCTGGGTTATCTTAAACCAGCTTTGGACAACCCGGCCCTTATCCCATATTCCTGGCCTCTTCCAATAATAACCAACCCAGGGTCTCAAATGCCACTTACGTGGACATTTCATGAAGCCAACCTCGTTACCAGAGTCTCTCTTCATTCCAACCCTGGGAACGTGGTCGTTATTACGGGCCGATCTAATAATTTTTGTCAGGGAAGTGGGGGTTGAGGGATCCAAACTTTAACCCAGTAAGTTCAGAACTTTTACTCTACACCAGAGCTTTAGCAAATTTTTAGCAAAGGTTATGTATCACAATACGATGCTAGCTGTCGTTTGAAGAGATTCATTTAGAAATGCATTAAAGCTACTTAATGGCCTGGGCCGGGTTGTTCAAAGCTGTGTTAAGATAACCCAGGGTTAGTGTGAAATTTGATTTCAGATCTGAAAGCTCTGAAAGAAAATTCAGCTTAATTTCATTTGTCCACAATTTGATGATGGAATGTCCTAAAAAAAACTAGGAAAAATTATCCCAAAATGGCTTTTGATTAGAGAAATTTAGGAACCTGGATTAAAATTTAACCCTGGGTCAGAGCTAATCGGCCTTTGAACAACTGGGCCCAGAGGCAGAGGAGTGGGTTTAGGTCTCCTGGACCCCACTCTGGGATCCAATACTGGTCATACAACATCTGGTGATTCCTTTAAGTAACATTACTCACTGCCTTTCCCCCCCCCCCCCAAAAAAAAAAAAAACCTGTTATCTTGAGTCTGAAAACAACTCAAGAGATAATACCTATAAAAAAAGGGACACTGACAGCCAAAGTGTGATCCTAACGTTTCTGTCATCAAACGAAACAAACCCAGCATTCTCAGTCCATAATAACTCAAATGGTAGGCAAATTGACGGTGAACTTATAGTCCTGTGCATTTTCTAAAGGTTCCTCTTAATCCAGCCATGGACGAGGCAGCCGATGGTCTCATTAAGGCCTGGGAACTATACGGCTCAGAACGGTTTGGCGTCTGATTATTGAATATTATTTATTTCGTTCTTTTTTTATTTTGTTTCTTATTTGTTGAGCGTATTGACTTTCCCTCTCTTAAATTTAGAGCTGTTATTATGTTTGTTATCCAACCTGACGAGATAAACGTTTACGACCAAAGACATCTGGAATATCGTATTCGCGAAAGGTAAGCGTGTTACGTTACTTTGCTCCACAGATTCTTCTTTTTCAGTTTTTTCGGGTATCATTCTTCAAAAGCGGAGCCAGGAGGAGGTAAAAGGGGTTCGTACAACCTTCCCCCCCTCCATTAGACCTGTGGGGCTTTTTAAGACTTGTCTGAAACCAGAGCTCTTGCAACGACTTCGTCACCAGTTTCCTTACCTGCTCTGAGTTATCTGTGTGTTATGCCTAAAAGTTCCCGTTCCATGGCTAAATGGTTTTGTGAATATTTCGGTTTTTGTTTTATCGAGTCTCAATTCAAAAGCATTTTACTTTGTGTTACCATGCACGTCTAAACCTACGATAAAGTCAGATTTCTATTAAAAGAAAGCTGACAAAAATCATAGTACAAGGTGTACTCTGATATCATGATCATCTCCTTGAGCTGGTGGTGTTTCGACCTTTCTCACTTCCTTTAAACGTTTCACGTTAACTAACAGAATGAGACTCCCATTGTGGATAATCACTCTCTATATAATTTTTTTTTATGTAGAAGCAAGGGTGTAAAAGTAATTAGGCAAAGCCTTACTGATGTATTCAGGGACGGAGAAACAGACAATGCTAAATCCCTTTATGTGTGAGTATCTTTTCTTTTTCGTACTTCCTTCATTTCAGCACAATGATCATTGTCTTCATGGTTTATTAGGTTAAAATTATGCGTGTATGCTCTTCACACCTGACAGGAATGGAATGGAAATTGCTGTGGCTTACTTCAGAGCAGGCTACACGCCTAAAGACTATCCCACAGAAAGCGTACGTTCATCGTAATGAATTCTCTGTTTCTTTATATTTCGTTACAGGACAAAATTGTAATTTGTGATTAGTTTTTTGTTTCCAGTTGTGAGGACAGGCTTCAGTTTGGGGCTAGAACGTTAAAAAATCACGCACACGCATGTAAAAGTGGGTTTGGCTAAGACGCACGGAGGGTTTACATTTAAACAATAAAGAATCGTAATATACTTTTTATACTTAAAGAAAGTAGCTTGTGACTGGTAATGCAGCCTTTCGTCTCGGCCATGATACTCATCCACAGAGTTAAACCATCTCTTTAAGTGCTGTATTTCACAGATGTGAACCTTGTGATTTGGTATTTCTGTCAACTTTAGGAATGGTCAGCTCGTCTAACGATAGAGTTGTCTCGCTCCATTAAATGTCCCACAGTGGCTCATCAATTGATGGGAACAAAAAAAATGCAGCAAGTGATGTCTAACCCTGGGGTGCTAGAAAGGTACTCAACATAGTTGTATTCCAGAAGTTTCTAAACAATTCTTTCTACGACAGAAAATTACAGCGAGCTTTACGCTGTTGGTTAGGGTTTTACAGGAATACTCCGCGACGAAAGGGTTTCTTTTCAGACTTAAAGCCCACAAAATGATAAGGATTGTGGGGGTTTAGGCATACGAAAGGACGAAGTAATATATCTTTAGGCGTAAACTAAACTATGTCACGTTGTAGGTACACCCTAAGTTTTACCTGCGTATTTAATTAACACAATGTTTGATATAGGAAATATTCCCAAACATGCATCTTGTCAAGACCTAAGATGGACTGAAGCCACTATGTGATCAGTTTGAATATTGATACTAAGCACGGCAGTAACTGTCCTGTCCCTTCAACAAGACAACGTTTCCTTTTCCAGGTTTTTACCTGACAAGGAATCCGTGGACAGAGTGCGAAGAACTTTCACTGGCCTCTATTCTCTTGACCCGGTAACTAAAATTGCTTTTTAAAACAATTTTAAAAAAGTCTTTAAAGCGATTATCCATGTTAGGTTATTAAAGCAGTTTGCAATTGAGTTTCGACAAAACAAAACCAAAGTAACCTCAGCGACTAATCAGAACAAAGTTTACATTATCCATAGCCGTTGAGAACTCAGAGTGAAAACCGGCAAACTGCTTGCGTTGAAGAGCGGGAAAATGCGAATTACCAAGTCGCGATTGTTTTAAATTCTGTATCTGATTGAGCAAGAGGATAGCGCGAGTTTTCTGGATCAATCACAAATTAAAGTAGAGTCAGTAAAACTTAAGTCATCACGAATTACATTTGACAATCTACTAAATCCACTTAAGAAATTTTAAAAGTCTTATTGAATGAACCTGTTAAAGGAACTGTTTGTGTGTCCCAGCTTAATCCCCTATCTTCGTTGAATAATGAAGTTCCGTTTTCATTTTAGGGACCGTTTGGGGACGAAAATATGGAGTGTTGTCTTAAGAGGACGGAAAGATGTGTTCTTAAGCCTCAACGAGAAGGAGGAGGTATGGAGAAGGAAATTCTTGCATCATGTATAGAGAACTTTAGGTGCAATGTGGCATGAAAATTTTGCGGATTCTAATTGATACATTTTTTCCCCAAGTAAAAACCGGTCCCTTACTCTCTATGAACAGGAAATAACATTTACGGCGAAGATATACGCCACACGCTGATCAACGATGCTAAAAGCAGGACGCAGTACATATTGATGGATCTGATTCAGCCGAAAATCGACAGAAACTTAATAGTCCGTGAAGAATACACAAACGTACAAACTTTGGATGTCATTCCGGAACTTGGGATTGTCGGCATTTTTCTCAGGTAAGACTGAATAATAGGTCATGGTATTGATAACCCTCAATGGGGAACGGGATGAACCAGTAATGCAAGCAGAAAGTCATCCGTTGCATAACTGGCCAATCATAGCACATTTGATTACCGAGGGATTTTTAATAGAGAGAATCAGCTCCTTGCGATGTTTCAAAGTGGTTTGATTACCGCTAGTGCTGTTCCACTAAGCGCAATTCCTCACTTATCCAAACGTCACGAGTCTTCAACTTATTGCAAGTACAGCTAGTAGAGGTAATGTTTTGAGAAACCCGCCTTTTCCTCTGTTAGTATCTGTTTTTGTTAAGATTTTTGACCTGACTGGGCTCAATGTTTAGGAGCATTTCGATCACTAGCGTTACTAACCCATAGACTTGTTCACTCGCAATGTTTCAACACATATTATTATGGTGCTCTCAACAAAAACTATAGCACTCTAGGCTTCATCTATCAATTTTGTCAGCTTTCCCAGCTCTCTCACTGAAGATTTTGGAATGTGATTTTATCATAGCCGAGGAGATGAAGTCCTTGTCAACAAAGAAGGAGGTTACCTGATCAGGACAAAAGCAGCCACTCAGGGGGATGGTGGAGTGTACGCTGGACGAGCTGCTTTTGATAGCCCATATGTAGTATAGTTCATTTGGACCACGACAGAAGCAAAAGAAAGGTGGTTGTCAGCAAGACTATCATTTCTTGAAGGTGTCGCACTCCTTGTTTTGTGGTGAAGTTAGCTAGAGGAGAAGATCATGCCACTTGCATCGATGTTGTGACGTCATCCGTTTTGACTGAACCGTCGAATGGCATCGTTCGTCATGAAAGACGAGGCTTCTCGCCAGAACATTGAAGTTGTTTTAAAGGGACGTTTGCTGAGCATTAAGTTTACGTAATGAAAACTGTTCTCTTTTCCTAGAATTGTGATTGACTATTCTCGCCTTGTATTACACCGCCGCGTTGGACCATGGGTTCCGTAAAACGTTAATTTAGCTGAAGAATCTTCCATGTAAAAAGACAAACCAGGAAACTTGTAGACAGAATGTGAAGATTGGATTACAAGTCATGTTGCCTCCATAAAGAACAAATCACCCAGTATTGAAATGGACAATTTTAGCATCCAAAACACTTGGTGTCCCTTAAAAACGCATTTTTGACTCACAATTTTATTTATCACACAAAACATCATATTTAATTTATTTCTACAGAATTCGACCTTTACGGCTTAACCAATACCCCAAAACACAGGTCTTTAAATTACTAACAAGGACTATCAATAAAGTTAACGATTGTATCTGTCCTACCAAGAGTCACTCCTTTGATAAAGACTGACTAACCACATTTTACTGTCTAAATGCTAAAGATTAAACCCCAAACAGAGAGCAGTTTCCAACTAAGTATCCTGAGTGCTCCTGGAACGCTTTGGTTTTGCTATACTTCGCTATGTGATTGGTCTAGAATACTTGCGTCATCCTCTCAATCAATCGAATGCAAAAATTGAAACCTCTTAACTTGGTTACCCGCGTTTTCCCGCGCTTCAGAAGTTTTCAAGTGCGCATCGGAAGTGGTCTCTGGTTCCTTTTGGTTTCGCTTTTCTTCACTCTGATTGGTCCAGAAAACATTCACCACCATCTCAGCCAATCAAATGCAAAACTAAAACCAACACCAACTTGGTCACCCGCGTTTTCCCGCGCTTCAAGCAGGCTGCCTTTCTAATTGCTCAGTGATGATGTCAACCTTTGTTCTAATCAGTATTTGTAGTTACTTTGGTTTTGGTTTTGTAGCACTTGATTGAAAACTGCTCTAGAGCACAATAAAGAGTTAAAAGTACTGAAAGAAAGTCCCCCAGTAATTGTTTGGTGATTTCATGGTGGACTTTAGGAGAAGTCAGGTGATGAAGCAATCACATCTAAATACATCCCAGATAATGACCGGGGCTTTGTGAGAATGGCAAAGTACGGTGAAATCTCCTGCAAGTCTCTAACAACCACAACAATGCTCAAACTTTACTTCAGTTGAAAACGAAATGAACATTTCAAGAAAGTTAAACAAGGAAAACAATCAACAGAGCAATATTGTATGCTCTGCATACAGAAGTCCTTGATTATGAAATGTGTTAAAATATCAACTTTGGTTGGACTGTGGCTATGGCTGATTCCTGATCTACAGGGACTGTATCAGAACATTTAGTCTACCTGGTTGAATAAAATGTAAATATTCCCTACCTACAATAGTGACAAAACTATTTTTCTACACCAGAAACAGAAAAAAAAAAGATACAAAAGGAAATAATTGAGCACCAATAAAACAGTCCTTTTAATATCTTAAAAGTTGAGAACACTTGTGAACTTAGTTCTGCTACACAACGGACAAAACCACCTTTATGCAATATTTCTACAATTTAAAGTGAACAAAATGAGCATACCATGAAAGGGTGAACTCCTGAAGGAAATACTAAAAAGTTGTAGACTGTGGTTTTTATTGAAAAAAGCTGGATCATTAAAAGTGTGATTGGCCAATAACATTCAAGAATTTAATATGCCTACCCACTACTCCAAAAAAAAAAATTAAGGTTTTATTAGCGTGCTAATGTATATTTATGCAAATTTCACAGAGATTCTTGAATGGTCTCCCCCTGCAAGTTTTGTCTGTTGAGATTAAATCAACCTGGACAAGGAGCTGTCACCCTCAAGTTCGCGGTAAATCCTGCGTTGTCGACAGTACAACACTGTCATTATGATGGTTGTAAGGAAAAACACAACAGCAAAACCTGTAGCCACCCACTTGCCTTTGTCTGATTTGTTATCACCGTGTCCTGAAAAATGGAACACAGATCAAATGAGTATTAACCCTCTTGCATCTTGCTCCCTAGCTCTGAATCCTCGAGTAATTCTCCCTAATAATGGTATACACTACACATTCCTTCACTAGTTATCCAATAGGCCTTTTGCAACTAGAGATCACATGCTTAGATACCACATAGCAATGCCATACTGGAGAGCAAGCACTCCAGTGATCTCAGACAGTATAGGGGTCACAGAGCTCTGCATTCAAACAAAGAATACAGCGGATAACAGGTCAAAAGGTATCCCAATTTGAGAAATCCAGTAAGAAGTAATCAACAGCTTCCCCGGAGTGAATCAGCAGCAAAATCACACCAAAATTCGTTTTTCACTGCTACACTCCAAGGAAGCTGTTGATTAAAACTTATAAGATTTCTTGAATTGGGATACCCTTTAACTTGTTATCCGCTGTATTCTTTGTTTGAATGCAGACCTCTGTGATCTCTAGTTTGTCTGAGATCACAAGAGTGCTTGCTCTCCAGTATGGTGTTGCTATGTGGTATCTAAGCACGCGCTCTCTTACTGCAAAAGGCCTATTAAATCACCTAGCCAATAGTTTTCATGATTTTCATTGACTGTCAACTTACATTTGATAATGGGAGGTTAATCCTTTTGGTTTTAAGACATGCACTGGAAATATACTCTTAAATCTAAGAACAATTTGCCAACTGATAACTTGCTGGTGTCGAAGAAACAATCATTTATAGTATCCAATCCATTCATTCATTATTAATCAAAATATCAAATATGATTCCATCTCCAAACAGTTTGGTAAATATGAATTTGAAGCAAAACAATCATGGTTGAGAGTCTAGTAGAGGTTCAAATTCACTTGTGAAATTTTAAATTGCAGAAAAGGTAAATTTTGATATATTTCCTTTACAATCACACAGATAAAATTAATTTGGTTTCTGGAGCAAACTTGTCCTAAAATTTATAGAAAACTCTGTTGCCATGAGGTAAAATTAATGGTTTCCAAGGATGGGCATGTGAATACAGTGTATACACTTAATGAGGGAGCCATTGGGGTTTGTAATTTTGCAGTTTTGCGTATTACTTGGATCAGTTTTTTGGTTTTTGTGCCAAAAAACGTCAGTTTTTTGGTTTTGTTGTTCACTGTGTTATGTGGATTTTCTGTTTTCAGCGTTTGGTTTGTGGTTTTTGTCAAAATTTTGATGGGTACTTGAATTTGGTATCCAATGTGCTTTTTCAGTTTTTCATATTGTGGTTCTGGTTTCTCTTTGATCTGAGCAGCAGGTATACACCTCTGCTGATCTCAAATAACTGCGAAACTTATATTGCTCCACTTGTAACCACAGTATCTGATCAATTAGGATTTTTGACTGCTGAGATGTGCAAATTCATCAGTTTAGACGATTTTGCATGTGGTTTTCGGTTTTGATCGATAATTTGCGGTTTCAGTTTCTAATAGACCCCAATGCCCCCCTCCTTAATTAATTTCCAACAATCATTGTTGTTTTGTCCTTAAATCCTATATACTACATACCTCCTGGTGTTGGGGTAACTTTTTGGGTAACTATGGGAGTAGTACTATGATTTCCAGGTTTGCTTGATGGGACTGTGGTTGGTCTTGTTGTGCAATTTCCTGGCGTGGTTGTGGTGTTTTGTGTTGTTGGTGGGAAGGTTCCATTAGTTKKTKKTGKKRTKRKYGKSST